TTCAAGTGTCCACCTCGTCCCCATGACGTCGAGCTCTACACAACCACTTATAATATTATGTTCCTCACAAGTGCAAGGTAATTTACCCATCCAAACTGCAAAATACAATGAAATGAGAAACAATGAAAAGGAGAAAGGAGAGTAAACTGTGTGGAGAATTGGGAATAATATTAACGTCGAAAAAAAAAAATGAAAATGAAAATAAAAAACTACCAAAGATACAAAACCAGTTGTTTTTGGCATCCCATGCATGGGTCAGTTATTCAGACAGTGTTGAAATGTCAACCTTTGAACAAGGTCGGACGGAGAATATTTCTAGACGAAAATGAGCTTTTCGGAAATGTTCAAAAAGGCTCAAACTCTTACTTTGTGCATTTTTCCTGTACACCTTCCCCCACTGCACCTGACCTGATACGCCCATGGGCCTTTTTCTCAGCTTCAGTTGATGTACTCAAACGAATTTCAATAAAGGAGGAATATATCTTCCCTCGTTCGATTATTGTTAGCGTTGTTTTGGACGAAACCCCGACCATCTGGTGAAGATTCACGAGACGTATAACACTGTCGCCGATGCATCTTAGGCCCCACACTACTCATTCCACTTGTTCCCCGGTCTGCAGCTCAGCTATGCCCCGCTGAATCGCCCCTACCAAGGAGTACATACATACCATGTAATGAAATTACTCGTGCCCATCTTGGCACGCGGGCCCCACCGAATACGGTATACGAGCGATAGAATTATCACTGATTGCATTATGGTGGCAACCTGCCTCAATTTGTATCGATTCGCTCGGTATCCGGCTTTTGGGTATCGAGGAAGTACATCTTAGCCGCAAGATTCCATCTCACGAGAACCTTATGGTGCGGTGATGTATTTTCAGATCTTTTGTGTAGTTGACGACCTGGAGTACGACATATCAATACGGCAACATTATGGCTTTTGATCCGTGAGGTTTTGATTTTGGTCTGTTTGGCGTGCGTGAAAATATGCCACAGGCGTAACCTAACGGTAGAAAAGTGGAAAAACACCGGTAGTTACCAAAAGAACATGACGTTGATCTGTTTTATCGAAGTCTCATCCTCATTCCAGGGGGATGTTTGGCAAACTGAGAACGCACGGGGTACAGACCTTTATCATGGTGCAGACATTTGACTTTCCCCATTCAAATCCACGTAACCAAAGCGAGGCTGGCAGGACAAATAGTCTGGTTCCTTTTTGCGAAAAAACATTATTATTCAGTTCTGTTATTGGGTACAGGGAACATGACTGAAATGGTGGCAGCATGATAAAGGTCTATTGGGCTGAGTTTGATCCCGTTTGATGTCGTATAGTGGGCATAGGCCTATGCGCGCGCATTTTTCTCCCGTGAAGCATGTCAACTCGTACTTCTATGCCAATTTTGTAAACATGGGCCCTCATTATGTATCAGCCAAGAAAACAATTAGAAACTCGGTGGTTTTACCTTTTTTTAAGAAAAAGAGTTAAGATGCTTCACAACTATGCATTGAATACAATTTCAATCAAACACGGGAATAAATAAACTGCAAGCAAAAAGATGTGCAGTCGAACCGACAGTATGCCGTCTTTAATTGCTTTTGCTTGCAATTTCACATAGCTTCACATTTCTAGCACAAAAAAATAATAAACTCTATATCCCGGAAAGTGTATGCATCTTTAAAGCTACACAAGATCACTGATACGGGGACGTCTCTATAGTCCGAAGTACCATTGGTCCGAAGTCCCATTGGTCCGACGTCCCATTGGTCCGACGTCCCATTGGTCCGGCGTCCCATTGGCCCGGCGTCCCATTGGCCCGGCGTCCCATTGGCCCGGCGTCCCATTGGCCCGGCGTCCCATTGGCCCGGCGTCCCATTGGCCCGGCGTCCCATTGGCCCGACGTCCCATTGGTCCGACGTCCCATTGGTCCGACGTCCCATTGGTCCGACGTGCCATTGGTCCGACGTCCCATTGGCCCGACGTCCCATTGGCCCGACGTCCCATTGGCCCGACGTCCCATTGGCCCGACGTCCCATTGGCCCGACGTCCCATTGGCCCGACGTCCCATTGGCCCGACGTCCCATTGGCCCGACGTCCCATTGGTCCGACGTCCCATTGGTCCGACGTCCCATTGGTCCGACGTCCCATTGGTCCGACGTCCCATTGGTCCGACGTCCCATTGGTCCGACGTCCCATTGGTCCGACGTCCCATTGGACCGACGTCCCATTGGTCCGACGTCCCATTGGTCCGACGTCCCATTGGTCCGACGTCCCATTGGTCCGACGTCCCATTGGTCCGACGTCCCATTGGTCCGACGTCCCATTGGTCCGACGTCCCATTGGTCCGACGTCCCATTGGCCCGACGTCCCATTGGTCCGACGTCCCATTGGTCCGACGTCCCATTGGTCCGACGTCCCATTGGTCCGACGTCCCATTGGTCCGACGTCCCATTGGTCTGACGCCCCATATGATTAGGGTTAGGGTTAGTGTTAGGGTCAGTAAACCTGAACTATAGTGGAACTACACAGTATTATGTTTCGGACCATTGGGACTTCGGACCAATGGGACTTCGGACCAATGGGACTTCGGACCAATGGGACCTCGGACCAATGATACTTCGGACCAATGGTACTTCGGACTATCGAGACGTAACCCACTGATACACGGAACACCCTGACCAGGGGTATACCTAATACGAACTGTACGTTTTTCCTTACTTTTAACGGAAAAAAGAAGCTCTCGCGATTATTAGACGCTTTGGAGACTTCAAAAAAGACTTGTACTTAGTTCAATTTCTAGGTTCAAATAAGTCTGTATTTTAATATTTCTTAGCACTCAAGGTTTCCGTATTAAGTCTTATTTCTGCATTCCGCTTTCTACGAAATTGGCTCACACAAAATTCATGCGTTTTCTGGGAATTCCTCTTCTGTAATTCCATTACTATACCATCTAATGCTGCACCTGCGTGTTTTCTGGCCGCGGTGTGCCAACAGAATGAATAATAAGACCATAAATATCTGTGCTCGGCGTCTCCACAGAAACAAAAATCGAACATTCAAATCCCTTAAGTGGTTTATATGGTAAGCAGGCGTGTTTTAGTTCAGTTCGACATTCTTTGAGGCACCAGTGGAAATTAGAAATCGGAAAATCTTTGGTTGGTATTGCATTGATTAAACCATTCCGGCTTCTTTTGGTATAGCGAGCACTTGGCATGCCAGCTATTAAAAGCAACTGAGATGGTTAATGAGAGTTTGGTTTGGGTTAATAACTTCCTGTGTCTCATAAGAGATACGATTAAGTGACAACTTGACCAGGACCGAGGGGTCACGGTAAGGCCGCGATCCGATGCAGGGACCCGCGGTCCCAACCGCTCAGCTCCCCCATCACAAGAGCGAGGAAGGTATAGGGACCGGTCACAAGACAAATTATGGCGGATCCTCGCTCGCTCCAATCCGCACTAACAAAAATCGAAGTAAAGGTTTCCGCTCCCAAGCTGGTTAAACAATCAGCCAAACATTTCACCTGATAATCCGTGTTAGTGATGCACGCATGGTCTGTCCAAACAGCGGGGTTTTGTATAACTATTGCCGGCCTGATGGTCTACCCTGCGCGCGGTGCGACACACACGCACGGGCCCTTGGCTTATCTGGGCTTCGATCGGCGGACCGACTGCCGATCGACTTGAAGCACTTGAAGATTTTGACATAGTCTTCGTCTTGTCTTGTCACGTACAGAGTGCTTCCGCTCGAAACTCCTTGCAGGGGCATGACAGTTCGATGGCGGGGCTGGATTAAGAGGCTTTTGTTTTCATAATACCTGTCGATGATAGTGAACCTTGACCTATCATAATGTGACTCTCCATCTTATTCAGTATCTACAACAAGTGCAAACTTATTCACGACGTGCAATAACCGTTGAGGGCGCTATACACATGATAATTAGGCAGTTGGATTAGGGAGTTGAAATTAGGGCTATATGTTTTAATATGAGGCTGTGCAATTGCTCTTTAAAGCTTATATTCATCTCAAGCTATACTCCGCCTGGAGACATCCTTTGATAAGACATTGGGTATGAGCGAATGAGCAGGTGAACAGGGGGAGTTCACCTTGACGTCATATCAATTATTACTTCAAGTTAACAGGCAGCGTATAGAGTTCCATAAAATAATGCAGGTGGCGCGAAAACCTGTGCTTTATGTCACTCAAAGTTGACGTCAGAGATAATAATAAGGTCTTTTGAAACTTGAAACTGGATATTTACGGTTGAATTGGACTCTTGATGTTTAGTCAGTGTATAGTAGAGGAGTAACTAATAGTAACTCTTAGCTTCACAGAATTTCACAGATTTATTTACAAAAATGTGGTTTCAGTTGGCGCAGCACATTTTTTTTTACAAATGCCCAGCGGTTTGCTATATAGGCTAGGGTTGTCAAACGAAATCTCGCACTGTTATAGTTGTCATTCTTTAATTTTGACCCATTCACTCAGTAATGTGAGGAGTGCCGTGGCCTCGATCGTGGTCTGGGCATTGAATCCGTGGTCTGCGGGTCATTCCATATGCACTCAGGTTGTGGGTTCGAGTCCAGCCTGGGGTTATGCGTGTGCCCTAGGGCAAGGCACGTTGTTAGTCATTGCATCTCACCATACCAGGAGTAAATGGGTACGGCAGAGATGGTTATTGTGGTTGATTTTAGCTGCTTTGTGCTGAAATGGCAGCATGGAGCTGAATACTCCCCAGGGAGCTGAGATGGTATTTGGAATGTTTCATTGACCCAATGAGTAGGGTATTATGATGTAGCGCCTTTAGCACCAATATTGGTGGATACGTGTGCTTTATAAATACACATTATTATTATTATTATATTTTTGTATATGATACCTGAAAGGTCACTATGTTGATAAGTGATGACGTGTATAACGACGTAACTCTTTGTGTTGTCAGTTTTATATTCACATGACACTGAGGTTTTTGCACTAACGAGTTTCCCTTTCTCTCCGCCAGGTGCCTTCTTGCTACCATACGCAATAGCCCTTCTGATCGCCGGGGTACCAATCTTCTTCTTCGAGGTGGCCATTGGTCAGTTTCTCAGTCTGGGGGGTCTCAGCATATGGAAGATATGCCCGCTCTTCAAAGGTAAGTGTCCGAATTACATATGGCTATGGCTTGTAATTACACGTGCGCCTATGGAAGCGGCTGCAGCCACTTCCCATATGTACGTGCGTTACTGAGTCGTAGCCAAGTTATTTTGAAGCTGGTTTACCTAAGTAAATGTTTGGTACTTTTGGTACAATTTTGAACCTGGAGAGTTAAAGGCTCCGTGTCAAAACGAAACTATACAAAAACATACATGGGGTAAATATCTATTTTTCTGAACGTTGTGAAAATATCGAGATATTCTGGTAGAATGTGATTTCTGGACAATGTCCATGGTGTTTCAAACATTTGAGGGCGTTGTTGCGTTGACGTCACTTTAGGTAAACAATCACCACAAAAAAAATATACCAGCATTAATCTGAACTCAAGATGGGCTCACTAAAAGCATTTTGTGCATAGAAATTTGCGCATTAACTACCTGTCGTAAAACACGTACACCGTCCAAATAAAAAAAAAAATCAGGTTTTTTTTTTTCAAGCTTTCGGTACTTTATGTTCATGTGAGTCTTAGGCATACTTGTAGTGCTGATAAGGATCAGTTAAAGAACCACGACGTTATAGACTTGGCAATTTGGGCTTGTCGTAAAATTATTACATCTGCTTCATGATGGCGCGACATTCAACACAAAGTAAAAAGGATTTGTATAGGCAAACCCCAAGGGTTGCGACAGCTTGGCATTGAAAGGAACATTTCCCTTGACAGGTACATTGAATTACTACCGCATAGGTCAAATCATAGAGCAAGGACAATTGACGAAGTTCATATAAAGATTCAATTGAAAACAAATTAGAATTTAATGTTACGGTCCAAAAAAAGCCCGCAAAATTGCCAACGCGTGAATTACGACCGACGTTTTTGGCATACGGCCAGCAATATCTGAAGCCACGTGGGGTATTCGATACTCACGCTAGAACGTATACGACACATGGAGACAATTCCACGCAGCTGCTAAGCGCAGATATTTGCTAAGCACGTACAATTTCTGCTTAGCATAATTAGGTTACCAGCCAAACTGACCTATCATTTACATTGCTTGTGACTGGTTCCCGGCTGGTATTTGCTTAGTACGTATAGTACGCTAAGCAATATTCTACCTCCATAAAATTGGGCCCTGGTCACAACATGAATTGTCGTTTACATGCAGACTGAGCGCTCCATTGCCAAGTACTTCCAACCCGCCCAGTTAGAGTTTGACAACCATTTGCTCTTTACTGAGGTTATGCCCTCCTAGTAAATTAAAATGTATCACACTACCGACATCTTCTGTCACTGAATAGCATCCTGTGAAATCATGGCACCTGGTATATGCTGTCATTTTCAAGAAAATTGGAATTTTGGATTAATTTCCAACGATGGTTGGCCAACCATCGTTGCAAAAAAAATATGTCCTTTTTTTCAAATATCTCCAAGTGTATATATAGTTGGTCCACAGTTTGCAATTGATTACACATCCGTAAATGGGTGCAACTCGGGAAGCTAGTCAGGTTCCTGACCTGACAATTCCCCTTTGTCTATACATTGCTCCGTTTGGCTGAAGAACGGTCAGGGAACCAGACTACAGGTACAGCAGATTTTTCCTGGTTTTATTTGTTCGCATCCATGAACACGAAGCTTTCAACAGGTCAGTGTAACAATATTCGCTATAAAATACCAACCCCAAATCCACCCATTTCTGACAATTACAGCAAAAGCAAATGCTGTTATAGGCATATATTATACCTTTAGCGGGACTTCTCTTCAAAAAAAATCATCTAAAGCCATGAATCAAGAAGGGACGATGAAATATCGTTGAAAAGTACCAGTTGAAAGCCACTTTGCCAATAAGTATAGCTTCTAGCTTCCCAGCTCAAATCATGCGATGTTTTTAATCACGTGATGTCTTTCACGCATGCGTGTTATGCAAAGTGACTATACCAGATACCAAGACAAATCAGCTGGCTGGGGCCGGGTGCTGCGCGGAAACAACTGCTCGTTGCCAACGACAGCGGCGTAAATTGCTCCTAATTGACGGCTACATTATGGACGGGACAAGTGCACATTGTTTAGCCGCTGTGAATGTCCTATGTGCTATGTTCCTTCATGGAGCTATAAACAGGTTCCTTGAGGGAAAGGATCACCGTCTTCCCTCCCCCCTTCCTTTGCTGCTTGCTGCATTCTGGGGCATCAGATCACAGACAAGCCTGTTGGCGAGTTCCTGACCCCATGACGTTTAGAGAGCATGGAGTTCGTTAACACCGATTTTTTTGCACTACCACAGAGACATGTTTCATGTTCACCTGGTATTTGAAACTTAATAAATTTAGGCTCTCGCATCGTGGCTGAAAGGAAAAACAACATGCCAGAGGTGTTTGAGTTGGCTGGTGAATGATCGCCGACATCATTGTCATACAACACATTTTAAATATGTGTTTAAAGCAAACTTGGTATTCATATGAATCAAACAAATTAAATTAATTGACTGAATGGAAAAACTAATCTGTGCAGTTTTATTTGTGGATGGTTATTGCCGGGAAAAAAAGGAACTTATAAACTTTTGCACGATAACTTTAGATTGGTGCGATTCCAGGTTCCTAAAATGCTCTTGTTTTTCCCCCAATTTTATTTTTTACAATTAATGTTTCTTATAATTTTAATTTTTATTTGTATTATTTATTTCTTCCTAAGACAAATATAGCAATATGACTTCCATTTTTCGTTACCAAACAACAATACGGGAAAATTGAGAAAGTTGAATCTCCGCGGTTTCTCAGTTCAAAGGCTGCAAAGTAGTCCGCGGTCGTATCTATGCCAGGGAAAGGGAAAATTGGCATTTGGAAAAGTTCACTGATCTCATGCTGCGGCTAGCAGCTGTCATATAGGCTGCTTAGTGTGGATATTGTTGGATGTATAGCGTGTTATTTATATTCATATCTAGGTTATTGGTATATAGCGATTCATACTGCGCACAGCAGTGCTGTCTATTATGTACATCCTTGTATCTGTGATGTGCCTTTGGTGGTACACGGATATTAATTGAATTTAAATGTATCGATTCCATTATGCCAAATCTCCCAACAAAGGTGTATTACTAGATAAAGTTGTTTGTTACAAAACTGTTGATTTTACTTTCTTTTTGACTGGTCAATTGCCAAAACATTGCAATTTTACTACAAAAGCCCCAAATCGCTATAAAGGTTGAAATACAACTGCCTTTTGTTAATTCCTTTTAAAAAGTACTGTTAGGAAAGTAAGATATGGCAATTTTTTTGGTGGTACAAACGTTTTGGAAGAACGTTGTAAAACCACATGTCCGAAGGGTCAGTTATTCCATAGTTCGCTTGATTTTTTTTTTCTTTTTTTAAATTGAGTACCAGAAATTTGAATTGTGTTGACTGTCTGTAGCCTTTAAAACTCTACGTTGGAGCAAGGCACGTATGTGTTTACACTCCATAGATTTTGCGATACCTGTTTAAATTAAATTGAATGTTTCCAACAGTTTCAGCGCGTCCCCCACTGTGTGATGCATTCAGAGACACCATACCCCACTGAATACCAGATTGCAAGGTTCATTCCACTCCATAGGTGGCTCGGGCGGGAATTCATCTCGTTGCTCTGGAAATGTTGGTCACAACACGGACCTCTTATTAGTTTGACAGCTAGAAAGAATGATGGATCTTACTGATGCCCGATAGGATATAAGGGGAGTGCGTTGGGCCAACTTGGAGAGGCTCAAGACCAGAGAAGAAAAAAAAACATTTGAGTTTATTGACCTTTGGTTGAGTTCACCAGATCCTGCCTCCAATGTGTGACCAAGTATAGGAATCGGCCTGTGTTGGGGATCATACTGACGAACCTTATTTTGATTACCAACTTAACTGTATTCTAACAAGGCTATAGGCCTACTTCTCTAAATTCCAAAGAGTGAAATTAGGGACTAGACGTTTTAGAGTGAAAATCACTCTCATTTTGGATTGAAATAGTCTGAAAAAAAAACCCACTTCAGTCGAAGCTCGAGTGAAACCTCGATCTTTACGATTGAAGAAATTTCACTCCAAAACGTCTAGTCCCTACTTTCCGACTGTGGGAGTGAATCTTCACTCGAATGGAGTGAATTTTCACTCTTTGGAATTTAGAGAGTATATTAAGTTATATTAGTTTACTTTGATGTGTCTAATATTTACCTCAGTCCTAATTTGTTTTTTGGAATCTTGTTTTGCGTCTGAGTTTGAAGGAATAATAAAGTTTTGTGATGCCACTTTTAGATCATGCATGATACGCGCGCAAAAAACCTGCTAGATGGCGTTTTAGACTGTGCCAGCTTCGTGAATTCTTTGTTTGTGTGGGGTGTTCTTTTTTTTGGGGGGGGGGGAATTTTTTCTTGATGGATTTTGTACAGGGCGGTGATTGAGCATAGTTTACTCTACTTTTTTTGAAGTTAGATAGTACATTTTTCGTTTACAATTTGCTGACAATTCCCTAAACTGTCGAGTCTGTTAATGACGCGACATCAAAACAATATAGTGCTCTCCATATCTGGAAAAATCATGAACATTTGGAAAAGAGGGTACAAAAAAAGAATTGAAAAAGATTCTACAACCAACAAAGAATGCCTCATTATTTTTGCTCTGTTCAGTGGTATACACCAATCCAGGCGCAGAGTCACTGTTCACTCACGGGGTCCCAAATAATGGCGAAAGCACGGACAAACTGCTGTTAACATCACGGTGTGTAACCGATTGCAAATAAAATGTGAAAAAAAGCCAGTTTAAGTTTCCAACGATGGTCGGCCGATCATCGTTGGAAATTGATAGAAAAATTCCACATTTCTTGAAAATGACAGCACACCAAGTGTCACGGTTTCACAGAATGCTTAAGACTATTATTCACTTATACAGTCAAGTAAAGTATTGCATAACAATTTTGGTAGATTTGTTATATGACGTTTGCAAATGTTGTATATTCCCTTTAATGATAATAATTGATTTGCAGGTGTTGGCTATGCGGGATTGGTCATGTCATTCTGGCTCAATGTCTGGTACGTCATGCCCATGGCTTGGGCCCTCCTGTATCTAGTCAACTCCTTCACTACCAGCCTACCGTGGGAAGACTGCGAGAACACATGGAACACAGACCACTGTGTGGCTAACTACTCTATCTCCGATAACTACTCCAGTACTCCCACAGATGAGTTCTGGAAGTAAGTTGGTAAACCAGAAGCAAAATCGTTGCCACTTTTAAACCTGCTGCGTTCAAATGTCCCATAACGCCCCATCACACTTTGCAACATTGAAACCTCCCCCCACAAAATAAAAAATGGCAAAAAAAATATTCTTCAAGAATTTGTCGCCTTCCCTCCAGTAATGTTAACAAATTGGATTTCTGAAATGGACCCATTAATGAGTTGCATTATAACTGATATGATTTCCCCGAAAATGTGTCAAACCGAAAGCGAAAGACCCTTGAAGTCCCTCTAGTATTACAACAGTCGTATCCGAAGTATTACACCGATCAAATCCGATTTGAACGCCAATGATGCAATTTAAGCGTACACGGTGGAGGGCGACTTTTTATGTTCGGTTGCAGACCAAATCCGTTTTCTTGGTTAACAACTGCTTTTGTGTGGGGTTGCGGCGGTGGAGTTACTTGGGTTCACTTTGCAAAGCCCATGAGTGCCCCACCCAGAAAATGGTGACCTCTTTTAGGCACCCTTCGCCAAGGGGGGCCTATAAGAGGACACCATTTTCTGAGTGGGGCACTCAGTGGGCTTTTAACTGTCCAATGTTCTGTGTGCCTTTCTTCAAATACTGAGGGGGAGGGGGGAAGAGGGGGAGGGGCACACAGGCCTGGGGGATGCCCCAATGCCCCTGCCCTTAGGTACGCTAACGTACGCCACTCATGGGTTGTGCAGGAAGCACTGTGTGTGGAGGGGCTTCCTCCAACCCCCTCCCCCCTCCCCCCATTCCCTCCTCCAATCAACCCTACGTCTGATTTCGACCTCTCAGCCTGTACGTGCTGAATAAGACTGAAACGATCGACGATACGGGCAACATCCGCTGGGAGCTCTCACTGACGCTGCTGGTGGTCTGGATCACGTGTTACTTCTGCATCTGGAAAGGTGTCAAGTGGACAGGAAAGGTAAATAATTGATGAATTGTACGAATACAGACCCCTTGCACAGGACGCCCTCTATGGGGACAAATTTGTTATCTAAACTTAGTGACTATGAAAGTACAAAGTGTCTTCTCAAAGAACTACCCTCAGTGAGGGCGCACTGTACTTGGGGTCTATACAGAGGACGGGATAAAATTGGGTTTGTGGCCATGCATGGTTTTATGGGGGGGGGGGCAGAAATGGGAGGGAATAACATAATGGATATTGCATGCAAAGCATTGCTCTTAAGTCGGCATTATGGGGAAAACACCAAATTTAAAGAAATGTCTTATTTCAGATATTGTTAAGGAACACAATCCCCTGAAAGTCCAAACAATTGTGTGTCTTTGGTTTCATTACAGGCCTTATTCTCTTCTAGAATCTTGTTGTAATTGACATAAATATTCACGTGATTTTTACTGAGAAACAAAGTTCCAAAAACTTAAAACATTGATGTCTTTACGCGGTGGCCACTTTTTTGTATTGACGCATTCCCTGCAGTAAACATTATACATTGACCTTTTAAAGCTAAAAACTCGAAGTCCTATACACAAAACACAGTACGAAAATAACGTGAGGAAATGATCTTTGATGTGATTTTTGTCGGGCACGAACATCAATCTTTTATCTTCTTTATTCAGACATTTCAAACGTGCAACACTATACCTTTCAAAATAACACTGTTAATGCCGACGGGCAAATTGGGGACGTTGTACTATGAAAAGTCACTCTTCTTTTTCGATGGAGAAAACCTGCAATTGATCTCTGTGTTGATCCGGCAAACACGGACTTTTTCCTCACAAACAAGGACGACAGTGTCCGGAAAATTACAGGCAATCAGAAAAATCGCCCAGGGGCGGTAATTCGTGAATTAAATCTTGTAATTTGTGGAATTTTGACCATTTAGGACAGTTAGTGTTAAAATGAAGTTTTCCGGGCCGTGCGTGCAGTACCCCCGCCCGAGGCACGCGCTAACAATTCGACGGATTTCTTGCATTCGGATGTTTGAACTCCCCGTGCATTGGCGGGAAAGGTCGCGATCCCTGTGACCTCAGAGGTCAATTAGTTTGACCCGTGTCACGGCTGTGCTTATGCTGTCACCCAAACAGATCGCCGGCATTGGGCCCTGGGTGCCGTCGCTTACCGGTACGGTGATCGATTCGTGCCCGGTCACTCAACAATATAGTCCGTACTTTTGGACCTTTTCGTAACTAAAGGAAAATCTGGTCTTTTTGGACACCGTGCACGTCCTCGATTTGGTGTATTATTACAGCTTCGACACCTGCTGCCCTATGGCTACATTGTTCTTGTCAAAAACAACAAATCAAATAAAGATACAGTTTCTCACAAATACCGTAGTTTTGATGCTCCTTGTTACTAAATATCCTCATCACGTATTGTTACCTTTATTATCCATAATACCCACGCATCCAAGGTGACAATATTCGCTGATACCTGTCATGGAGTTATAAAATGCTCTGTCGACAAACATGTGTAAATCAGTGATTGTTTCTTTTTTTCAAAAAAGTTTATTGTCCAGAAAATGCAGCCGCGAAATCTGTGAAATAAAAAGGGGAAGGAATTTGTCTTTGATTGTGGGAGAAAAACCTCAGGAGTACATCAGTTGCAATGCAACTTGCATGAATGCTCTTCCTATTGGTTTTGGATTAATTCTAATTTGCCGCCTTAAAAGATGAATTTATCGGAGTGCTTCAGTTCACCCAGTTCTCGGCGTATTTTCGGATCTTTTTTCTTCTTTCTTCCCAGGTTGTGTACTTCACATCGATGTACCCTTACGTCATGCTGATCATCATGTTCTTCAGGGGTGTAACACTAGAGGGCGCTGTGGACGGCATCATTTACTACCTAAAACCAAACTTCAAACGGCTTGGAGATTCGGAGGTATTGTCATAATTATCGCTCCTTATATAATATTGTTTTGTAGATGATAATTAAGAGTGTGTCCACGAGAGGACCATGCAGACCGTGACAAGGTGGGGGTCGGCGGATTTGGTAAAAATTTGGGGGGTAGGTGGGTCATAGGTAGCCTTGAGGTTGTACAAAACATTTGGCTAATCTGACCTTCGTAGCAAAAAAAAGAGCCAAAAATGTGTTTTTATTAGTGAAAAATGGTGATTTTTTATGATTTTGGGGTACAAAAGTTTAAACGCTTGCTGCTCAACAGGGGAAAGCAGTAGAGAAATGAAATTTGCATGGTCTTGAGGTTGTATCCTGACCTAAACCAGGAACTCAAAATTTTGAAAAAAAATTGCTCTTAGGAGGCAACGGCACTAAGGGTACCCCCAAAGTTGAGTCATAGAAATAGCGATCTTTAAGTCGCCGTAGCGTCACTAGTGCAGGTCTTTGAACAATGACACTCAGGTGAAAGAGAGTTCTTATCATGGTCTTTAAGTATCAAGAATAAAAACATTGTCAGCAGTTTTTAGTATGAAATGGCAGGAGCCTGTATTACCCCTATTTTTCGGTAGTAAAGGGACGGGGGAGGGGCATACAGTGCCCCCCCCTTTTCTGTATTTTCAAAAGTCGACAACCAATTTTCATGAAATTTGCCACCAAGTTTTATTTTTCCAATTTGTAAATAATGACGTCAAAAATGTTTTTAAAAAGCTTTCATAGAGGGCGTTTTTTGGGGCACCTTTTTGGTCAAAAAAATGTATTTTTCACATAATTTTTGACTTTTTTGCTTGAATGTTATGAAAATTGGCAAACGTGTATATTTTTTCATGATCAATAAAATTAAAACCTATTTTAATACTGGAGACGCCATTAGGGGTGCTATAATCCCTTAATTAATCCCATTTTTAGGGTGGGGGGGGGGGGTTCATCTTAAATCAATATGGCCGCCACCTTTCAGAGTCCAGGATGGAATGTATACCCTGCCCGATTTGTGGCGGAGGGAGTCCCCACATATGTTCCTATACTCAACACACACTTGTCTTTTTGTTAACAGAAGTATCCCCCAATAATCATCTAAAGAATTCCTGAGATTACCAGAACACAATGAAGACACAATGGGGGTGGGGTGGGGGGGGGTACACCCTGCCACATATCGTGCACCAAATGTGGGAATGATGAGGCTTGGATGACAATTCTGTTATTTTTTGGCTTGTTAATGTAACCCGGAAAATTAATAAACTTGGAAAATAATAAATTGAATGAGAAAAATGCTAAATGTTGGGGTACTCGCTGTTAAAAATGAGATAGACCTAGATGGGGTAGGAACAAGTAGAGAGGAATTTGAATAAATAGAAACAATGACAAACACATTTTTAGAATGACAACAAAAAAAGAATGATTTATTTTACCAACCAAAATTTGAAGAAAACCATTCAAAAAAACCAATAATCAAAAAGGATCCAAATTAACTTTTTCCCAAACCTTAAACCTGTTATCCACACAACCAAATAAGTAAAATGGTAGTACTACAGTCGACTTTTGTTATAAAGAGCACTTTTATAAAGATGTCCTACTTCTGCTTATAAAGAGCAAATTCTGAGGTCTCAAATCTCTAGTTCTCTTTGTGTCTCTTTGTTTCGCTGTCCTTTTAAAGCAACATTTCTGTTTAAAGAGGTAGTTTGGGCGGTCTCACCGACCTTGCTGTAACGAGAGTCAACTGTACAAAACTAAATTGAACTTTAAACTTAAATGGAAGTTGAAAGAAGAAAACTGAACTAACACAGTATCAAAATAGAATGACACATGGAACAACCTAACGATCAAACTCGAAAAAACAATTGAATATAAATCAAGAAAATCGTTTTCCTTCTTAAATTAACATTAAAAAACAAGAACAGTCACTGTCTTCCAATAACAAGCCATGATAACCCTTTGTTTAAACACAAAATACGTAAAGGAAGAGAACATGGAACCACTAATGCAAAAATGTTGGTAAAAAAGGATGTAATAAAAAAAAAATGAAAACGGGTACTACTATCAAAATCTTGACTACTTTGTGACGATTCAGCAGTTGTTTCACCGATGGTAATCTTCAATTCTTCATGAGCCCATCTTCTTGACCTGGTGCTAAACAATGAAGAACTAAACCAAAGGCTTCCTTTTCCTTCCTTCTATAATAACGGATGGTGCTATCAGATGCTTCTTCTAATGACAGACGAAGCTGCCCATCAACAGCAGACATTCCACCCTGAGTAAGGAAAGTGTTCAGGGATTGCAGCTCCACATTCTTTGGTCGGGGGGTTGGAGCCCAAGAAGAGTCAAGTGCACCTACATCCTGTGTAATATCTCCATCAGTTGATGATGACTCAGATGTATGCTAGAAATAATCATGAGGAAAATAAAAAACAGTGAGATGCGTGCTACATATAGCAGGGTTGAAATACAAATGTATGTTCTCAAAGAAGAGTACTTACAATTCATCTGTGATAAATGAGATGCAATATGTCAATGTCCATTCTTAGTTCACTCTCTTTACCTCGTGCACGCTGTGTCGGTGGGTTGGAGAGATGGTACACCAGCCGGCGATGTGAAATCACTGATTGTACACTGATGCTCTTCTTGTTCCTTAGAGAGCACATCGCTAGATGGTAATTGTTCCGCTGTCTGGTGCGTAACTGCTTGTTTGTGCTTAGATAGACAACCTCTACAGATACCTGAAAGTCATATGAACAGTGAGAATTAACAAAGTGTAAAGGCCGCAGCAGGCTTAATATTTTATAAACGTAAAAGATATAAAGCGGGGCGTATGTAGCCAACAATATTGAGCAATAGATCCCTTGAACAAAACCAATGTCATAAATTCCCCCCCCCCCCCCCCCCCAAAAAAAAAAAATTAAAAAAAAAAAAAAAAATCTTCTTTTATTATTTTAGATTGACTGTATTTATTTACAATTATTGCTTTTTCATTTTCTGATGTGGCTGGCGCTGGAGGATTTGTATAAAAGGGAAAACAAATCTGAAATTGTTCTTGTAAATGGTCAAAACAACAATGTAAGTGCAAAATAAATATTTGTTTTATTCCCCAAACTGCGCATGTTCAGTGCAGCTTTCTTTATATAAAAAAAAATCAAAATATCCACCATGTGTGTCCACTGCCGAAAACCATGTGTGTGGTCCAGAGCTGTGACAACCAGTATTAATTTTTCACACAATAATACATGTCACTGGTCCCAAGTCAACTGCATGATAAGGGATTTAATTGATATAACCTTCCCAGAAACAAAATCAGTTGATCAGAAATGGACCATGACCATGATTGATTCATTTCAGAAATGTGTGTTTGTTTGATTTCTGTCTTCTTACCTGTTCCAACTGTGATCAGGATACCCCATCGATCAAACATCTCACGGCTAGTTGCTTTATTCCCACCACGGAATGGTTTGCATTTCACTTTATGGAGTAGATGACAACATTTCCTTGATGATGTCCAACTCAACCCTAACTTGTATCTATGCGCTGGACATATTGTCTTATCAGTGTATGCATCGACGTCGAACAAACCACATCGCAGGAGGATCAGTTTCCATGCACTCGACATTCACATCATATGCAGCGACTTTCCACTTCTGCAAATGGCTCCGTATGTTTTTTGTGCATCGATTAAGTTGCACTGTATTTAGTTCGCGCGGATAAGAGGGATTTACACCACATTTGATGGCTTTGCAATACTCAAAATTACTAAAATCACATTGCTGCCGCACAGACAGCATGTCCATGACAGCCATTTTGACGGTGATGTTATGCGAGGGCGCCCTCTTTCGATACCGTGCGCTAACTGGGTGGGCGGCAACAGGACGTTCCCCTCCTACCGGATCAGTGCGCACCACCAAAGGTAGCCCACTCACCCACCCACCCAATAGGTGAAGTCTGCAAAATGTAGATTTTGTTACGCTCTTACAACAATTCCAGCAAAATGTCAATTAAGGGGAACCAAATGCACTCGGAACTGTCTAGGGGGCTATGAGGTTTGGTCTTGAAAAATAGGAATTTTTCAACTTTGTTGACCGTGAGCAAACAAAAACAGGAAGAGCTGACAGTTTTTTTATTTTTTATTATTGTAGTCGGATATCTGAACTATATTTCCTCCAAGTTTGTTGACTCTCAGCCCTGCATTAATTAAGTTATGGTTTACCGCGTAAATGACTTCATTTCGTAATAGAGCTGATACGTGTTTTTCTTACGCCTATATCTCCGCAGTGAATGATTGCATATCAAAGATTTATATTTCATCGTTTAGAGGAGATTAAATCCTTTCTTTTGATATGTAGGTCGACAGTAAACGATTTAGTTTAAGGGAATACACGAGGCTATCACTTTACACCAGAAACAACACAAATTTACTCCCCGGAAGTCACCTTTTTTTGCTCAAAATTATCGGTGCCCCGTACTCGGCCACCGTGTGATTATTTATCGAGCTACTCCACCGAGTGGTATCGTCTCAGGTGGGGATCAAATGGCCAAGATTTGAACTTAATTCGCCGACCCCCCACCTTGTCGATTTTTCAAGATTTTGCATGGTCTTCTCATAAACGCACACTTAAAGCTATATCCATATTTTATTTCAGCTACGATGTCAAATACATAGGAAAATTGGAATACAATGAACAACCTGATATCAAAATAATTAAATAAAATATCAGGGATAAAACACGATTGTTTTGCTATAGACCTTTACTGGGAGTGTAACTTGGTGTAGAACAGGCTCCGGTTTCCAACTTAAAAGTCGACTAATTTTTATAACTTTTCCCAAGGTATTTTATTTTTTCATCGCTTGAAGTTGAAAGGGAGCTGCTTTTCATATCCCGCCAACATTTTTCACTTGCGTCCCTCAAAAGCGAATTGTGGATTTACATGCATAATGTAGAATTGAAGAATTTCTGATCTGGAAATGAAGCCTGTGGTTCTTTTCATAGCATCATAATCATTGTTTCTAATAATTATCATATTATGAAAATGCTTCGATTGAGTGGTACGCAGCGAGCGAAAACAACATTTTATACGCACAAGCGCGGTGGTAATCATGATCCATGGAAAGTACACGGTATACCGGTGGCTGTTGTGTAAAAAGAAAAAAAATCGCGGTCTGAATATGCCTCTCAAAATGTGACGTCACGAAATTGGGTCTATAAAAAGCTTCATTGAGGCACCATGTGCGCCTGGCAAAATTCAATCAGTGAAAACCACACATGATTTCGAGATCTACTCAACTACATTGATGGACCTCTGCATGTTATGCAAGGCGAGCCCAGCCGGCCATTCACTCTTAGCGACCTCGCTCTCGACACGAAATACTTGGAAACCCTCTCAATCGCATTGATCTCACGAGTATGTCGAGCTAGGCTGATTGACAAGCTACCGTAGTGTTAATGTGCTCAGTTTACCACCGTGATAGATTTGTATTTAAGCTTTCACCTGCGCATGCGCATGCTTTAAGGCAATATCCGCACACGTGACCAGAGACGAACAGTGAGGGCCCACAGAAGCCCCCCCCCCCCCAAAAAAAATACCTTCGTTGTTGGCAACTCAACTTCAAAAATCGTTAGGTAAATCTGATAAGCATGAAACTTAGAACTACATTATATTTACGTTAACAATAGTTTAAGGACTGTGACAGTGAAAGACATATTTTTGGAGCCACATGAAATATGCATTGTGGGGGGTTGCTTTGTTGAGCGGAAAAAGATAATGGAAGATTTAAAGAGCATGCGGAGGCGTAAATGAGTACATTGCGTGCATGGATGATCCAAAAAGGATATTATAAAGCAATGTGCAAATATTCTATTTCTATAGTACAGACATATTTTTCTGTGGCAATTCGTGAGGTACCAGTAGGATCATGTCCAGTGTGCGCGCATGCTCATTGCACCGTTTGCACGGATACAAATCTAGCACGGGTGCAATCTCAGCACATTCATACAGTCTTTGGTAATATTCTGGTTCCCTAAAACCTGCAGGTGCACGGAATGAAAATTCATAATTCAGTCTGTCAGTCGAGCCGACTGGAGGCGTGATGTCAGTCAAGTGGGATCTTCGATCGAAAACCTGTCTTCCCACACACAATCCGTCTGCGAAAATAACGAGTATTAACCGATATTGCTTAATTCTAAAATATCTGGAGGCGGACCCCCCCCCCCCCCCCGTAAACTTGTTTTCCGTTATTAACGCCAAGAATGTTTTTGTTTTTGTTAGCCCCGAGCATGTAGACTAATGCAATGCGCACTTCAAACAGCTTTGGGGGCTAAAATTCGAAGACATCGTTCCTGGGGAATGCCAATTTCATCGACGTATAAAAAAAATGTTTGTGCTTTGACTGGGCGTAGAAAAGTGGTAGTTCACCGACCGTAGTGTGAATTGTTGATGACGATAATTTTCAAAATTACATATTGATAAAGTAATTCACAGAAGCTGGTGACATTTCAGGCAATAACTTGATTTTCTTGTCCTCAGGTTTGGTTGGATGCGGTGACGCAGATCTTTTTCTCCTACGGCACTGGGCTAGGCAGTCTGATAGCCCTCGGTAGCTACAACAAATTCAAAAATAACGTCTACAAGTAGGTCATTTGAAAATTAATCCTCCAACACGATACTTAAATTAATTTAATAGATTTCCATATGCTAAATGAGGACTTGTTTACGAGAGTTGATAGCATGGGCGTCGCCAGGATTTTTTCTAGAGGGGGGCAAAAAAATTGTTTGCCAAAAAATGCTTGCATATTTCTCAACACATTCTCGATTTATCAGTTTTAGAGGGGGGCAGGGACATTTTGCCCCCCCCCAACTCATTAAATTTACACCACTTTGTCTTCGCGCCTCTTTTTCTTTTCTTTTTTCTTTCTTTTTTTCCTTCCTTTTTTTTCGGTTTTTTTTGGCTTTTCCAGGGGGGGGGGGGGCAAGTGCCCCCCCTTGCCCCCCCCCCCCCCCCCTCGCGACGCACATACTTTTGTGGGATATACAAGGATAATCTAAAGATTCGTCAGGAAAAAGGCAAGACGTTATACGACTTTTGACGATGACTTAGTTTGGCTTCAGCTATCCAGCTAAGGAAATGATTTTATATTGTTTTAACTGACGATCTTGGTTTTACAAATTGTAATTTAAAGAAATCAAGTTCTTTTCAAAACCAACATTAATTGAGCAGTGTGCCTCGATAACGGGGAAAATTGTGACACTTAAAATTCTGTTTCCTAATTTTTGACAATTTAGCCTTCATTGTTTGTTCATTCCATCACACTGAAAGTAAATTTAATGTTTCAATCAGACTTTTTGGAAGATGTTCTCATGCATCGTCGTATTCACACGCTGAGTTCGTTCAAGGGCGTGAAAAGACCTACTCTAGTTGGACTTGAACCGAGAACCTCCAGCTCCCGCTTTCGCCTCTATTGAAACAAACGAGAAGTCCTTTTGTTGTGATGTGTCTTTTCTTTGGTCGGCAGGGATGCGCTCATCGTGTCCTGCATCAACAGCGGTACCAGTTTCTTCGCTGGTTTCGTCATCTTCTCCACGTTGGGTCACATGGCACACGTGCAGCAGGTGGATGTGGCTAATGTCACGGCATCAGGTAAAGATCATGAGTGGTGATGATTCATGGATATGTACTGCATGTATCATGTCAATTCAAACAGCAAAGCCGTAGCCACGAGCATGGGCGTCGCCAGGATTTTTTTCTAGAGGGGGGGCAAAACATATTTTTCCAAGAAAATTCCTGTATTTCTCAACCAATCTCGATTTATCAATTTTAGAGGGGGGCAGGGACATTTTGGCCCCCCCACCCATTAAATTTACACCAATATGACTTCGCGCCTCTTTTTCTTCTCTTTTTTTTTCTCTTTTGTTTCTTCTCTCTTTTTTCTTTTCAAGTTGCCCCTTGCCCCCCCCCCCCCCCCCACGACGCCCATAGCCACGAGCGGGTTCAGATGCATCCTGTAACTTCTCTCTAATAAAATAACCGTGACTAACTAATCTGATGTTCATCAGATTAGTGGTGATGCATTTTTTTTTAATTCTTCATACCTCCATAGGTTCAATAACACAAAGATTGCTTCTAATGCCAACTCAATCATGGTTGCATTAAAATCAAACCGATGTGGGCCCGAAGACCTTAGTGCAGCGTACAGCGATGTGCTCCATAGGTCAACATTTCATTTCCATAATTCGATAGCGGGGAATTTTTGTATGAGTACGTACTTCAAAGTTGAGCGAAATGGTAAATTTGAAACCTTATTGACCACAAATCCCAAATATCCTCAAGGCATATAACATTGGTTAAAAGAACGTGAACTGTAAGGATGATTGTGAATCATACCTAAAATGAAAGCAGACTGCCTCTATAATTCCATCTCCGTAAATTGTTGACTTTCTAACTTACTTGACCTTTTGTCTTAGGTCCTGGCCTTGCTTTCCGGGCCTACCCAGCAGCCCTTGCGCAGCTGCCTATCTCTCCTCTCTGGTCCTGCTTCTTCTTCTCCATGATTTTCATGGTCGGGCTGGACAGCCAGGTAGGGATTCGAACCGATCACCGGGAGAACTTTAGCGTGTATTTTTATTTCAATGGAATTGTAATTACTAAAACATGGATTTATACTTAGTATTAACTCTAAACTACAGCAGCAATAATACGTAAATCTTAAACTATTTAAAAGAGTCATGTACATTGGACTTGAAACTGCAAATTAGAAAAGCAGGATAGTTACTTGTGGTTGTAGCCAGACGTTTTCCGCTCATTAACCGCTGGAAATTTCGAAAAGGGAGATTTCAATGCGGATTATAGGTGGCGCTGTTATTAAAGCGTGGGGTGGAGGGAAGGTCAAAGGGAGGGGGGGGGAGTGCTAAGTGGGCTAAAGCGGGGGGGGGGGGGTAAGTCTCTCTCTCAGCCCCTGGACTGCTCCGCCACTGCTCTTGAAGCGTCTTTAAGCCGAAGAGGATAAAAATGTCGAAGTCGTTGAGAGTTGCCACTGTATCCCTTTCTTTCACCCACAGGTTCACGTACAGCGTTATGATAAAAAAAAATTAGCAAAGTATTTCTAGCGAAATATTTTAAAGGGTGTCAGTTTCTAGGGGTAAAAGTTCTACGAACTTGATTCTATATGTCGTTGTAACATTGTGACTTGTAGTTTTGCACCATGGAGGGTTTCTTCACAGCATGCATGGACGAATGGCCCAAGTATCTCCGCCGACACAAAGAGATCTTCATCGGTATCACATGCGTCATCTCATACATCATAGGGCTCAGCATGGTCTCACAGGTTTGCTCATCAGTTTTTAAATTCTGCTTAGACTTTTAATACTTGTGAGAGTGAAACACTTTGTTTACACGAAGAAAATATGCATATTTTTTTTTAAAGAACACTTAGCACCCTCTGGGCTGCAATGTCATGGAGCTGCAATAATGAAACTTATCATATAAGACAAGTATGTGCTAAGCAGATATCAGAGGAGAACTGGTTCCAACAAAATATAACACGTGGTAATAATTGTAAACTTGCTTTGGTCCGAAGAAAAAAAACCACTTTTGCGCTTAAAACGTTTGTGTGCGAGAGTAGCTCCAAATATCTATGGAATAGTCCCTTGCCCAGCATTGCGAGCAGATTCGGCGATTAATTATGCAAAACAAGACTGCGTCTTGGCCTCGAGATTCTGACCATTCAGCGGGCGCCTTCTATCGGGTCTTCGGCAACCCCTTGTTGTATTACAAAAACATGGCATCCAACAGACCAATCAACAGCTTAGTCCACATCTCTAATCGACATGACGTCACAATTTTTAATGTCGATTGGCTGGCGCTTGGGGTCGCATAAAATATATCAGACGTTCGTTTTGCACAAGAGAATGTCTGATCCTCAAACTACTCCAAACTGGCCGCGTTTAAAAACTGGCCTATTATATGACGTTTTTCTCCACACTGTCCACAACCCCGTGTGCCTGCTTGTCAAATGAATGGGTCGTGGCATTATTATTGGAACCAACAATTTCAAGATGATTTCAGCTTGTCGTTTTTCCTCTAATGTAGGGAGGAATCTACGTCTTTGAGATCTTCAACAACTACGCGGCCAGCGGGATAAGCCTGCTGTTCCTCATGTTCTTCCAGACTACGGCGGTCAGCTGGTTCTACGGTACGGTCTGGGATTTCAGTCATTTCTTAGGCCTACTGTTACGAAACTTGTTTAGCATGATTATACCTGACCTGGAACTATTCTTTGCTCTTTATAATTGCGACGCTCCGTTGATATTCAGCAGTGATTGTGATTACCAGCGTATCCCTCTTTTTTTACCATAAATTTTCTCAGGTGTGGATCGTTTCTATCGCAACATCGAGCAGATGATCGGTTACCAACCGTTCATCTGGTGGAAGATCTGCTGGGTTGGGCTGGTACCCGCGCTTTGTCTGGTAAGGCTGGTATTATATTACAAAGTCTGGTTCCCACTTCTCGGACCTAAATATTTTAGCCAATCTGACGAAAGTCGGGTAGGCGTCAATATCATGTGACTAAAACGTTCAGGATGCTTTGCGTTTCCGAAAATGTCCGTTGTTTTCCGAACAGGTCCGTTGTTTTCCGAGCACGCCTTCGTTTACACTCCGATGTGCCTGCGTAAGCTCGGGTGTTTTCGCGCGGGTGTTTAATGTTTGTATTTACTAAAACACAATACCTGCCATGAATCCGGAATTTGATGCCAGACGTTATGCTCAGTATCTGTTGTTTTTTTTTTCATCTCATTTAGGCTGCTTTTTGCTTTAGCACGGACGAGCACTAAAAAGTCCCGCGTCAGATTCGTCCAGGATCCGGGTCAGATTGGACCTGACTTTTAGGGTCAAACTGACATTTACATGAGTCACTTTTCTGAGCCAATTGACCCGGAAACGTGTCAATTTGACACGAAAATAGTTATTTAGACCAAGAAAAGTCTCAATTTGACTCGGAACAATTGTCATTTTGACCCAACAGAGGTCGAATTTGACCCCAGATTATTTTTGTTGCATGATCCAGGGTGTATTCATATTCAACATGGTGGAGTTCAAGCCATTGACTCTAGACGACTATGAGTACCCACCGTGGGCCATAGCCTTTGGAATACTGCTAGCTCTCAGCTCTATGCTCTGTATACCAGGCTACATGGTTTATCTGCTGCTCGTCACACCGGGTTCCATCAGAGAGGTAGGAGTTTATTTTTGGACGACTGAGGGCGTTTTGAGTACTAAAGGGTGCAACCAAGTAAACAGGCGAACAATCGTCCGCTGAGGTCATGAATAATTATTGTTATATTAGAGAGTTCTTAGAGCCATGAAAGTGGGAATTGAAGACTTATGGCACTGCACCTCTGGCCTGGACTTGGGGCTTCCAATTCTAAGCATTTTGGATGTATTGTATGGGTCCGAAAGTGACGTTATTTTAGGTTTTTTTTAGCTATGTTGTGGAATGATCGTTTTTTCAAAATTGCTACTTTTCCAATTGGGAAATATCATTTGTTTTAGGGGTGATCTTCTCGGGGTGAGAATTTCTCTAAAAAGTCATTGGTCAACCAACCAAAAACCGGAATGAAAATGAAAGATGACATGTTGATCATCATATTTCTGTGTAGCCTGAAAACCTGTAAGAGTTCTGAGTAAGAATTTTAAAGTATGGGGATTTATTACTGGTGTCAATGGGAATTTATTTACTTGGGTACACTTTTAAACAGCCTACGACAACAAACCCGTGAAAATTACGTGGTGCAAAACTTTTAGAAAAAAAGTAATGTCACAATCGTCATTATTAATGAGCCAATACAAATTCCGGAATTGGGGTATTTCTCTACTGCCATCAATAGACGCCCACCAAGGTTGATTTGTGTGTTGTAATAGCCTTAATTTGTTTGATAAAAAGTGGCTGTTCCTATATCCTTGTGTTCGTCAAGATAAAATGCTTTAGAGAATGTACTATGAAACTGTAACAAAGAAGAGAGCGAGTGTTCAGACAGCAATAAGCCATTGTTAGTTAGATTTGAATACAATTTGGAATGTTGACTTAATCTTATGCTTTGCACGCGTTAACTTTGCATCCTCCCGAGCTTTGGTCTGGAGAATTCACAGTTAATATGTGCCAAGCATTCTGAGCACGTCAGTGTATCAGACGTTTTTCAAATTGAAATCCCAAAGGTTAGGCCTATAGGTCACTTGCAAATCATGGCTTATTGTAGGTGAGAAGCTGACTTTCACATTTCCCATATTGTGTCCTCTTACCATTATTTCGCAGCGTTTCACGAAGTGTATCACGCCCAATTGGTCGGAGGAGGACTTGCGTAGGGGGCTAGCTCTTCCTCGAGACGCTAATCGTAAGATGCAAGGTCCTTATCAGGATTACTTACCTCCTTCCTACGCCACGGCGGTGGCCGAGGGAGGCCCCACCCCTGTGTAGAATGTAAGATAAGAACGGAGTCAACATATAACGTCTTTATGTGATGTGTAGTTGAACATCTAATACCCAAGTGACGGTTAGTATCGACCATTGGCCATTTTTTTAGCGAATGAGGGCGCCATTTTTTACGTGTAAGTTTAATACGTTCTTTGTGTTATCTTTCTCAGCTACTTTTTCTGTCGATTTTGTTTGTTGTATCACTGTCTGTATTTTGCTTGTTGAGGACAAGCATATACATGTTATAATAAAAAATACTAATAATTACACAAACTGAAGTGATTCAAATGTTATTGAAGAGAGCATGTTGTGGTAATTCAAATATTACTTGGTACTTTACGAGTACAATCTTCAGTTTTTAGAAAATTGTGTCGTTGTAGCGCCCTCATTCGCCAAAAAAAGTAGTACGTGATCTTTCTGTAACTTTGGGCATAGTCTTGACGTGTTTTCAAATGCTCGGGTTTGTCTCCGGCTTCGGCTCCAGGAGACTTTTTAGGCCCCTGATTTGGAGAACTCCAGCTTGTGCTGCATATTTTTGCAATGCAAGGCCAAGGGAAAGAGTATTTTATTTGGTGTGGACACTATCCTGCTCGTTTCAAAAATGACTCTAAAGAGCCAGTGATGAAACCGTAGCTGGAGTGAAACCTAGATTTCGAAAAACTTAGTTCGTGGTCAGTGATAATGGTTCATTGGCAATAGCGCCCTCGTGCCACCCCAAAAAACCCAAAACCTTAGTAACCAAGAATACCATGACAGTAGACCTTTCTCAGATGAGGGTTTTTCGATATGAATGGTGTTTTTAATTGACTTTGATCTGTGTAAATATTTTGTGGATAACAGCGTGAGGTAAAAGAGGTGAACAATGGGCTATGAAAAGGAAGGCGTGGCCGAATATAAATAAATGGGATTTTGCCGATAATGAATGAGTCAGCAGGGAGACATTCCCATAGACTTGTGCACAATTGTTTTCCAGCTTTAATGACCCCTAACCCTAATTTTACCTTATCCCATCCCACGAATTTTGGTATAATTACTAATTGGACCAGGAGCAATCGATCTAGCCTATCCGTGACATTAAATCTTGCCTCTAAACAGGGGCTGAGGCATTAGGGAGAAATGTTTCCCTAAATCCACATCTCTCCCAAAGGTATAACTTATGACGTCTTTGTCTCCCAAAGCTCCTGTGGTTGTAATAGTAATAGTTATAAACAGTGTAGGGGACATCTTTTGAGGACGATGATGTGGTTTGTACCGAAAGCAGAGATAGGAAAGGTTAGGATTCTTTGATTCAAATCAGTCACATCAAAATAAAGGCTAAATTCAAAGCAATAACCTTTTTAAAAGTAAATTTAATGATAGCCGAACTCTACCTGCATTTTCTATGTGAAATGGAAGTTAGGCCTATACTGTTTATATAATTATACATTATCGGCACACTTTTTGAATTCAAACACACACACGTTTCTGGTCTAAAACATAATCTTTTGGGGGGCAGAAATATGGACGGAACAAAATGGAGGAAATCCAGAACTCTCTATAAGTGAAAAGACGGTCTTGGAATACATCCGATGATTCGGGATTTGATGAGGATTTTTTTTCCGTTCTCCGAGCACTAAGAGGAAGAAACATGTAAAACCTTACCTCACGTGTATACGTCATCCGATTTGTGTACAAAAAAATATAAACAAATAAATATGACGGATTTAGTGATTCCATTTCGTATATTGTGTTACGGTGAGAATGACGACTGAATGTTTTGTACATACATGTCATACTTTTCTGCAGTGCAGGACTGAAAAAATATATCGAATGTTATTCAGTGTACATCAACGAAGCTATTTATCACGTGCATGTGGTATGATACTCGAATCAGTGACTTATAATCTGCGTGGTTTTGAATTTCTGTATTTTCTTTACAAATTGTGAGAATTGACTGGAACAACATTTAAAGTTTATTTATATCTTTTCTTGTAATGAAACCAGGGATTCCTCAAAAGCGCCCCAGGCACTGTAGCTCACAAGCCTGAAGAAAACTGTGGAGAGAAGGCAATGTGAAGAAATTACAGAAAAAACCCAGAAGAATATTCTGGGGGAACCCCCACGGAATCAGGCAGGGACTGAATACCCAATCCACATGTGGTCCAGGCAGGAATCGAACCCGGGTCACAGCGGTGGAAGGCGAGCCGGACAGTAACCACTGCGCCAACCTGACTTCCCTATTAAACTTGACTCCAGTTTGACTAAAAATCAAGTCGGTTGAAATCTATTGATTGAAAAAAATGACCGTGATTGAAAGCCTAATGTTGAGGGCTAACTTGATCGGCAAGTGTTTCTTTTGCGACAAAAATAATGTCCAGTCAACTCTCAAGAATATTATTTAATTAATTATGTTCATACTTAATGTATTTTTAAAAAAAACCCCATTATACATACGTTTATACGAAGAACAATATTTTCATTTCAAAATTAAATTTAAATTGGTTTAATATTCACTGATTTAGGTTTTTAAAGTGTAAATTTACCCTTCATTACGTCATTTTGATATCCACATGGAATGTACTTGAGTGTGACATTAAGGATACAATTATTGCTTTTAATACTTTAATACTTCATGAAGAAAATTAAGTATAATTCGTGTTCCGTGCATTGTATACATTATGTGGGAGTTCGAAGATGTACTGTAATTGTATATAAGACGATGATAATATTTCAGCTATCGGCTAGCTTCTTAAAGGCATTGAGAAGTCTTTTGTACATGACCTTGCAGCCAAAACATCCTCTTGCAAACGAGAAAAGACGGGAAAAATAAGACAGAAAATAGTCACGAAGCTTGCTGGAAAAACTAGAACGTTGGAACCGTAGATAAGTAGCTGATATACCCAAGATTCATAAATAATTAGTGATTAGAGTGTGCGTCGTGTTAGAAATGGTTGATCTATAAGGGCAGTAATAATCGTTTATACATACAGCAAGTCTGAGGATCAAACATTCATGTGTACAAAGCCACGCTGCGGTCTGATATATCCTCGCATGCACATTTTATGCGACCTGGCCACGCGCCAGCCAATTGGAGTCGACTTTACGATGTTGACTAAGCTGTTGATTGGTCAATTTGACTGCCATGTTTTTGTAAAACAACATCGTGTTACAGAAGACCCGATAGAATGCGCCCGCTGAATGGTCAAAATCTGGGGGTCAAGACGCAGTCTCGTTTTGCATAATTTATCGCCAAATCTGCTCGCATATCGTAGATGCTTGTGTGTGAGTGTGCAAGCGGCTATTCCTGTATTCCATACAGACTACAACAAGTGGAGTATCTTAGAGAAAATTACTAAGACCTATTGCCCTAACTAGTTTTACAAAAGCTGATGCTGTGTCCTTTGATTTCGGATTTCATTTTGAATGTTTGTGATAATGACTTGTAATTTGTTCACGGTTGTGACAAGGTCATCCATGTTGGTCATGCATATTTCACACGGGAACGAACGACTGATAAAAATGTGGGTAAAAACATCAGGCATTTTTACAGTTTTGTACTGTTATTACTGTATAATTCAACATATTATGTAACCTATAAAAGTGTGTTTAACCAAATTTCTCTGTGAATATTGTATTAAACAATTGGTACTCATTATTACGTGCAAATTACTATGCATTCTGTATTATTATGATATGCCTGTACTAGTAGAAGTTTTGCAACAGTGTCAGGTTTTTTACATGTATTAAAAAAAAAACCTGTACCTAGTGATCATATAGGCGATTAGGCGATCTTTATAAATGTATAGAAAGATCAGTGTTCATAAACGAGTTTAGAGTTGTGTATATACGGCTGTGTTCGAGTTTCAGTGATATCGCCCCCTTGCGACGAGAACTGTGAAGTCATTGAGCTGCTTACAGAACCCACATTATGTACTTTGGGAAATGGCAAAATCCAACGATGAGGTCAAAGACAACTCAGATACTCGAATTGCTGTTTGTGTATAGCTGATTTCATTTTTTGTTGGGTGGCATCATAAAAAAAAGTCTGGAAAAATCTCAGCCTGATATATTGATTATATATTGATTATATATTACAATATATATTGACATATATTACAATTTTTTCAGGCAATTTTGGGTAGGAATGACACCAATCAAACTGAAGATCCAATAGAGTTCAAAATGGCAATGTATAGTAATTGTAACAATGGCATCGTTCCTGGCCAGAATTTTTACGGATTTTGTGTAGTTTTGACTTTTACTTCTTGCACATTTTTTATTTTATAAAATGCCATACCAAAAAATCTACTTCTGTCAATGTACTATATACGAAGCATTAAGTGTGAACAAAACTTCGTAACCCCACAAACAGTAATCGCATTTTTGTTCTGTTTGAAGAGCTTTTATTGCAAACTAAAATGTCTCAATAATCTCCAACTTCTCTGTCAACGAACGTTGTACATAGAGTGATAACCCATTGTCTGTACCTAAATAAATATGTAATAAACAATGTATCATACATAAATATGTCCTGTATTTTTTCCTTGGCCTTTCGGTATCATATTCCCGTAAAAAAATACGTAATTATAATTTTAATAACGGTATTATTTCCCACAAAAGCAGAAAGTACAGTAAAGCCATCCGCTGCGACTTAAGGGCAAGGACAATTGGTAGCATCTTTATTTTCGGTCGGAAAAATTCAGAGCATTTTGTCAACGGATTCGGAAAAATTCACATCGATGTGATGAACTCGCAGAAATCCACATGGGAAAACGACGAAATGCCAAGTTGTTCCACAAATAACGCCATATACCGTTCTGGCCCAAACACACTTCGTTTTTAGTCTAGACAAGGGGCCGCATTTACCTTTTAATGCATAAACGCAAGTGTTTATATTGCGAAACCAAACGCGAACGCGAATTTGTGACGTTCAACACATGTCAATTCAAGCGAATTTTGCTGCAAATGTTTCGTGAAGTCGAATTCACTCCGCTTTGACATTAAGTATATGAACCGGGTGTAAAAAAAAGAAATCTTGAACTTAGTGTCTATCATTTGTGGCGCCCTCATCGGTCTACACAGAGAAAGACTATCAGCATATTAAGGTACAGTACGGAAGTCCAAATTTCTCTCAGATATAGAGTCAGAGATCGGTGGCAGTGCGTGATTGTTCCTATCACCCTTGACCTCTGGGCGTCGAAACCATTGCAGTCACAGACGACTGACGTTGCCTGTTCTATGAGGTCAGTTCTCCAGTCTGAAAGACTATAATGCAACACATACATAATGTTTAATCAATCTTTTGCATCACAGCCGTTCAAATATTTGTATCAAAATGTCAAGCTATTTTAAAACAAAATGAAATATTATCAGAACCCTAATTTCACTTTTAGAGTCTTTCTATAACAGGTTTTAATGCAGCATCAAATTATCCAAAATATGAACCAGTGGCGCAACCGTTACACACGCTTTGATGAAATCCGCAAACCATAATTATCATGGTGGAAAGAAATTATAATTTTCGGCCACTTTGATTCATTGTGATAAATTTCGAGCCACGAGCAATTTTCTGTTTGCTCAGAGCCAATACGGCGCCATTATTTGGAAATCTTGGGACCACGTACTTGGCCTGCAGGCGCCTGTCCTTCGCGTCAACTCACGATGATACCTGTGATAAAAAAGTGCATCTTATTCATCTCGTAAAAAGTACCCTTAAGTCTGGGATAAAGAGGCACTTTCGCCGCTGACTTTTGTTTACAGAGTCGAGTCAGAGACAGGGCCTATGCTTTGCCGGTCCTTATATAAGACAGCGTGGGCGTACACGGAGCCAACATGAAGCAGTGGTCAGCGTGTGAGTGCAGTGGATCGACATAAAAAGCGCGGGAGGGGAGAATGCGCGGAATACTCATTGCAGACGTGCGAGGGGCAGCATGGCCTTTAGTTAATTTGCCGATACTGACTGGCCAGAATTCTGCTCCAGCTCTCCGTGTGTGCTGTTGTCCTGCCCAGAGAGGACGAGCTACGAGCGAGGACGTGCTGTAGATTCCAAAAACGCGGCAATTTCACCTGTTATCATGTGCCGGAGATCCCTGTGCCAAAGATAGTGCGGCAATTCAATGCATGACGTGGTACGTGCTTTAGATATCTCTGCATCGTCGGGTCGATATGCAGGATTTGCCGAGGCGAAATCTCCGAGTATGTCACGCGCTTGATATCGCAGACGATGCAAACAAGTACCTCGAGCAAGTTGCATCATCATTTGAACCAGCCGCGATCCCGACTAGAGATTTCGGTGAAGAAATTCCGAATACTGAAATCATTACCGTGAGCCGGGAAGAGATGCTGAAAGTATAACTCGAGGGGGTTACGGTGGTATATCATTGGAGCTACACCGGTGTATCAGCGGAGTGTGGCAGCGATAACATGGCCAACGATACGGGCAGCAGTGAGGAGTTATCGGCCGGCGAGATCGTCTCCGTCGTGGTGATGATTCTGGTGGACATCGGATCCGTAGTCGGCAACCTCTTGGTGATAACCATCATCGCCAAGACGCCTCAGCTCCGGAACCTCACCCACGGCTTCGTGCTGAATTTGTGCATTCTGGATTTGCTCTGTGCTTTCATCGTTATGCCGATCTCCATCGTGTCTACCATCACCATGGAATGGAGACTAGGGGACGCTTACTGCAAAGCTAATGGCTTCTTCAATGCTTTCTTCGCCTTCTCCTCAATCCTGACTTTGTCTTTTATCAGTGTGGAGCGGTACTACTCCATAGCCCGTCCCATGGACCATGCAGCCAACTTGACCCCAACTAAAGGTATCGTCTTGGTGGTGTACATCTGGCTGCAAAGCGGTCTTCTTGCCTTGCCGCCACTTGTTGGTCTGAACCATTACGAGTACAACCACCATCGTGGCCACTGCACGTTTGCTTGGGAGCACACACCAACCCACATCGCGTATGTTGTCCTCATCGGCTGCGTTTGCTTCCTGCTACCAGCGGCCATTTTGGTCGTAACTTACTGCAATGTCTTTCGGGTGGCCCGCCAGGCGGCTCGGCAAGTCAAACCGACTTACACGTTCGGTACATACGGCGCGACCGCTTCGCGAGGCAACGCCGGCACGGCCGGTGGTAGCTCAACGGTCTCCAGCATGGTATCAGGTACATCCATACAAAACGGTACCTCTGATAGTCTACAGATGGATCAAGCACGCGGATCGTCTGACCAACCAGATGGCTACCAGAGAAAACCGCCTCAAGTCCAGAACTACGTCGGTAAGAAGAAGCACTTCTCTCCCAAATCCTTCTTCAACATCACCAGCAGTGATCTGAAAGCTGCCAAGACGATTCTCTTCATTGTGTTGACTTTCTTGATCTTGTGGACCCCGTACTTTGGCCTGCACGTCTACGGGGTGTTCGCAGGCTCTCAGAGTGGAGACACCTCTCTATGGGAGCGCCTGACCACCTGGGTAGCCTACTCCTCCTCGGCAGTCAACCCGATCCTGTACGGCGTCCTGAACCGGCAGATCCGGCAAGAAATGACGGACATGTTCCAGGGCCTCTGGGACCGATTCAGGTGCTACCGACGGCCCGAGGCGACCCTGGACGACGCCATGGACCCGGGAGGGGCCGAAGATTTCTTCCAGTTCTTGGAAAGGACTAGCATGTTCACCAAGTCCACCTCCGTGACCTCTGGACTAAATACCAAGACGGAGAATGGCAAAGACGATATGGTGAGGATACCAGGACAGATTCCTGAAATGTCAGAAGGTGATCCAACTCAGTAATCAAATACAATATCGTCCTAGCTGACGTCACGAAACGAGATGGTAGTATGGGATGCCTTTTCCCGTTGTTATTAAAGTAAGAAGAGGGCACAAAACGCCCCGAACATGAAAGTCTTAATTGATTGAGAAAAGTGTCTCTATAAAGGCACCTGTATCAGCAAAGGTTTATCCATTGGACTGGTTTACTCTTGTTTGGTTGTAGTCTGAATTAGAACCCAGTACGTGAATAGAGAAGTTAGCAGTAGTACTTCTCAAAATGTAACCAAACCAGCCAGCAAAGAATTCACCCCCAAAAAAGTTAGCCGAAATTTGACTCAAAAGAACCAGCCCTGGTCCCTTCAGATAATAATTACACCGGGAAAACCCTGTCTTTGATCCGAAGATTCAGTGTGTAAACATTGGTAAGTTTCGATTTCTTAGATGAAATTATCTTGTCCGTCCGAGTGAATGCACTTGTTCCTGCACCTGTATAAATAATTGGCACATTCGTTGATAACTTGATATCAAGCATGTATAATATCCACCTGTATCACTCGGTGTTTACCGCACATTGCTGACATTAATGTTCACCCTTGATATAATCTTGAACTTTGAATGCTACAGCAAGTAACCGTCTCATGATGATTATACGTACGCCATTTGCTGGCAAACCGCACTGCGTTTTGCCATTTTTAGAATGTTATTCAAATTTGCACAACTTTTCGGGGGAAAGGGCTCTAAATTTCCCACACAGTGAGAATTGAGTATGGTTTTAAAATAATGATTTATGGACTCGGTGGGAATTAGTAACAACGAAACTCATTTACTTTGATTAATGGATGCGAGTGCAATGAATTAATCTTGTTCGATGTAATGTATCATCACAATTTAAAGATGTCTTTGAGAAAGGGCCTTAACGTTGTGGTAAATTGTCTATAGCTTAAAAGTTATCTCGAAATGTACTCATCAGAAGCAAAATGTAGATTATTGTAGATAAATATTATATTTATTGAAACAGACGAAAAACTGCCAAATGCAAATAAATGCAATTTCAACAATGCAGTTGGTATGGTAACGGGTCGTGTTTATTGACCGATAGTTGTTTTCATATGCACAGTCAGTGATGTTAAGTGTATGCCTGGTGGTATTTTGGGGCAAATAATTTGTGATTATATCACTCGAATGACATTGGTCAGGCTTACGTTCATCATATTTTGTCCGCAAAATCAAAACTCGAAATATGTATTCAAATTTCTGTCCATTTTAATCCTCTGTCTGGTAAAAAAAAAATGACCACTATAAATAGACAGCGGAGCGTTTCATTATTGAATTACAATCACCTCACAGGGGAAAAACATGACATTTGATGCGAAAATTATATATTACTGAGGAAACGGACCGTACAAATTAATTCATCAACTATTAATATTATATCGTAATGGTTCCTATAATGAGATAATTTCTATTCAACGCTCCGTTCATCTTTGTTCTGCGTTGACTCTCTTCTCGTGCACGCTACATTGGACATTTTCCATTAGTATATTGTAGAAAGATGTGGAATTGTGAATGCCCGACAGTATTAGCCATCGTCCCATTCGTCCGACCGTATACCGATCATTGGCAGCAATATAGCTGCAATTCTGTTCTGAGTGTGTGTGTATATGAAACCTACGGAAGCGTTAAAGGGACATAATACAAAAAAAATCATAATTATGACTTATATCTCATAATTATGACATAGTATTAAGTCACAATTATGAGATATATCTCATAATTACGACTTAGTAATTGTTAAATCATAATTATGACATATCTCATAAATTTTTTTATGACTTATGATTAAGTCGTAATTACGACTTATATCTCATAAATATGACTCATAATTATGACTTATATCCTATAATTACGACTTAGTATTAAGTCGTAATTATGACTTAGGATATCTCATAATAACAAAAATTTTAGTCATAAATGTGACTGAATAATAAGTCATAATTATGAGATATAAGTCATAATTATGACTTAATCTTTTTTAGTTTGTATTATGTCCCTTTAACGCTTCCGTAGAAACCACTCTCTATTAAAAAAATTCTCTTTGCAGACAAAAAGATCGGGTAAAATAAAAAATTCTCTTTGCGGACAGAAAGATCGGGTAAAATTACTGCGCAAACTAGGTAATGTATGAGTTGCGTAGCAAGACAGCTAAAAGAAATTGCAATAATAAGGGTTTTTATATGAGAGGCGGGTGGTGAGGCATTTGTCTACATATCTCGTTTCTACTCTCTTTGCAGATCGATAGAAAAGGCATTTGAATGAAAGCACATAGTGTCTTTGTTTGCAAACTGTGTGCAGCGGAACTAAAGCCTATACAAACGTCATCACAACACAATTTCAGAGACATTTATTTTCTTGTATACCTAAAGACGTCATACACTTTACGTGCCTTGGGCGCTAAAAGTGTTCGATCCAACTGATACGTTTCAGTAAAAATATACTTCCTCAATTCCGAGCTCTATAAAAGAACTCTTGTTCATGTCGCACAAATAGGTCTCTCCAAAATGGAACAAAATTAGGACACTGCCCTTGTTATTCCATACCAGTGTTTTTGTGTAATGTTGGTTCAGTATCAAAATGGCGACATCACAAGATGTTTGTTTACTTCAACTGAGAAACGCACAGGCTTAGGTTTCTATACACGCGGGCGGTAACATAATATGCGAGTCGTGTTATCATCCAGATGTTGTGTATTCAACCTACATTTTACAGATTTAATCAGTGTTGGCTATCACTTAATTTTATCATGTATTAACTACCGAACGAATTATTTTAATAATGAAAGCACGCCGGTGTCGTATGAAATTTGGACTCTTACGAAAGCTGGTCTCTCATAGGGCCTACCTAATATGGACTCTAACCCTCACACGTGACCTGTCACTGTCCTAATATTATCTTCATTTAGGCATGCGCAATACAACCTAGGAGTCTGTATTTCATAGTTCAAATTCCACACTACACTGACTATAGGCAACTATATTTTTTTTGCAAAAGCATGCATGTCATAAGTTCTTTTTAAACAGCATTTGAAATTTAATAATTTTGTATATAGACAAACAGAACATTCTGCTGTATGAATCGGACAGTAGAATGATGGGATGTAACACTATCAATCGTGCTAAAATATTTCTAAGACAGCTGTCACTTTATTAACATCCGATGACAATTGTGAGTTGTGGCGCAAAAATATTATGCACGTCATGTGTTCCATATATGAAACCTTGCAAACTATAGAAACATAGGTTGTTTATAGCCGAAACTTTACCTACAGAATGCGAAAACCTTGCTCAACATGAAGATAGAACTGGTACCAAATACCTTGTGAGTCAATGTGGTTTTAAAAAAGTGTGTCAGTCGGCACATCCTTTTACGTGCGTTAGCAATGGATTCCAGTTACGAGACCAATATGCTAATATCCCTTCCCTGTTTTCTGATAATGTAAAGTTGCCACTGTATGAGCTAAAACTACAAGTTAGCTGTTATGCACCCTTCCTTGAGCACTCTTGTTGCTTCAATCGAAAACATGCACAATAGGCAAATGATCGCAGTGCCTTTAAACCATGATGATATTGTTATTATTTTAGCCGAAGTGACGACCTGCACATTTTCTCATTCTGAACCAAGTATTTGGCCGGACAGCCATCCACGTGCAGGTGCCGTTCAGTATCGATTACATGTCTTCGAAGTCATTCTATGTAGTGTTTTTAGTCGACGACAGCGTTGCAACCTGACTGCCTTTCTGCCACGCACTCGTCCGTAATGACGCGGATTGCTTTCAATTGGCAGACCTGAAGTGTTTTCGCGGTGGGCTGCGAACTGGCTGTTTTTCGGCTAATACTGGCGGCTATACTCACCCCCCCCCCCCCGCCACTCACCGATGTTTTTTCTCGTGTCCAGGGTTTTTCTTTACGCTCTCTGCGTGCTCTCGACCATCTTGACGGACGATGGATGAAAGGTCCACGCCACTTCTCATCAAAAGCTCAGTTCTTGACGAAAATGCTTAACCGACATTTTGAGGTGTACGTTTCACATGTCATGTTATAACGTCAATTTAACGTTGACGTACACAGTAGACCGCGACAAGATAAAGTTACATGTGATCGAAAATTGTAGGCTAATTGTTCCATTTCCAATGTTAATGTTTTTTATTTTTTAAATCATCATTATTAAAAAAAAAGGTCATCTGTGCTTATTTTGAAAACGTTTCATCCTGCTTCATCACTAGATCTTGGACCGTTAATTAGTTATAGGGCGTATTACGAATTTAGCTGCTCACAGAATTTGCTTAAATATTTGACTAAGTAGAAAGTGATTATTAATTGTGGACGGTGCCCATCTTAGCACAAACATGTATTATCTATCAAAGCAGATTTAATATAGTCCCAGCTTTTGACTGAGAAAAAAATCATTGAGAGGCAGGAACCTCGGAGATCGAGTGCGCGAGTAGGCCCCTAGGGACGGGGTCCGCTACAGGAAGCCGCGAACCTCACGTTGCACGTTGAGGTCACTGGCTGAAACACGTCAACTCCATCTCGATCTTCGGTAAAGAACATCAAGAAACCACAATTCCAACGAGCAAACAAAACGTGTAATTGGACATAAATATCAGATGACTCTGAATATACCTTGGACGCCATCAAATCACCTTGATGTGCCCTTTTCTGGGAGCAGACGATAAGTTAAGGACATTTTCAGCTTGTTAATTTGGAACAGCTAACGTGCAGCATAGGCATGTTGACGCTGCATACTACTGAATTATTCAATTCACAGCAATACAAATGCATGTAGAGGAAGTTCAGTTGTATCGTCTTTCACTCCAATAATTTCATGAATTTTCATGTCGTCATTGAAAAGTAATCAGTAAGTCTTTGAGTACTTGATGATCTAGAAACCTTTTGGCCGAAGGGTTAAGTGATGGATCTACATATCTGCAGCCGAGCTAGAAATCAAAATGTACGGAAACAAAACAGGAAAACAAAATGAACAGTCGTCAGAAAGGGCGGCAGAGCTCGACGGAGAGAATGAGCATAGACTTGCGCCGTCGCGTCCGGCGAGAACATTCAGAAACCATTTAAAGGTAGAATAGTGCCTACATCATTTGCAGGTATCAAAAAAGTAACTGACAAAATTATCGTTAAAAGATTACTTGTTTTAATGATATTCTTTCTGGCATGATGTCATTTTGAAGAAAACAATAAAAGGAGGTTATTTCCAATGATGCGTCTGAAGCAGTGGCGTCACCAGACTTTTCAGTCTGGGGGGGGGGGGGGGGGCACAGGGGGGGGGGGGGGCACCAGCATTTGATGGGGGGGGGGGGCACTTAGGTGGATACGGATCGCTGTCCTGGGGGAGGGGCCTAAGGGGAGGGGGTGCCCCCTCCCCTTTGGACAATTTTCGCATACGGAGGATGGGCTAGATGCAAAATGGTGCCACATTTGATGCTAAATTCGATCTGAAGATATCTCCAGAAATTGCTATTTTTGAGGTAATGATTTTAACAACGCGCAGAATTTTGCAGAGGATAGGGGGGGCACCAGCATTTGATGGGGGGGGGGCACTCGGGGGGGCACTAGATTTTCCAGGGGGGCACGTGCCCTGAATTTATCTTGTGGTGTGGAATTTACTTCTCGATAATGCCTCAACTTGAGACAGCGAATGGGCAAACAAACGCCACGATAGAAGGCTTGCCGATAGGCCAGGAATCGACTCGAGTGACCCCACAGCATGCGCTCATCAGAGACCCGTCACGAAACCTGAGATGATGAGGAAAAAAAGACGAAGACGTTGGGGAGTTCATCCGAACACCGTGAGGTGTGGATCAAGAGGAGGACTGGAATGACTCGACGCACAGAAGTGACGGGCTTGGCATCTTGAGACAGTAAGGCTTTCTTGCGGCTGCGAAAGAGGCATGGTTTTACAGGCTCATTCGTGACTTACGGAGTAAGAGTAGTGGAGTATTAAAACAAATCGAGGGGTTGGCTTACATCTTCA